CTCTCTCTCTCTCTCTCTCTCTCTCTCTCTCTCTCTCTCTCTCTCCCTCGCCCCTTCCTTCATGCTGATGGTAGCAAGACTGAGAATCCGAGTACACAGCTGACAGGAAATGGATAGACGAGAACCTTACCCTGTCCTTTTCTATTCTTTACCCATCTCCTCCCTTGAGAGCAGATTTGGAAATATCAGGGGCTTCTCTTTTTCCCAAATGGTTACATGGGTGCATTGAGCATAGAATCACATGACTGATTTCTTTCTTTTTGTGTGTGTGTGTGTCGCCACACCAAAACTTAGTGTTTTACCTTCAAAGAAATTACCTCAAAAGCCTGAGCACCTGTTCCAAAGATGTTGTCATTGCTCAGAATATTTTTAGTGCCTTTCTTTTGGGATCATTTTTAGTAGAACACATTTTTTTCAAAGTGGTGTTGGAAGTCCATCACATGAAGGTAGAGTTTTTATTTTTGGAGCAAGCCAAAGCCACTGGGGTGGTGTCTGGTAAACAACACAGGTAAGCAATCCATTGGTATGTAAAATGATGTATCTTTTCCTTGTGTGTTTCCTTACTGGGTACAAATAGTTTGAGCAATAACAGCCACAATTCATTTGTTAATTTGAATATATTAGGCAGATATCACTATAAGGAGCTGCAATGTATAGGCTACTTTGAAGGGCAACATCATTTGGATATAGAACATTTACCATGTTCATTTTAAAGTAATTTCATTGCTGTATCTTTAGGCGTGGTAAACTGAGGATATTGTGATGTTTGTAGATACACAGAGATAGCCCTCATACTGAGAATCCTAAACTCCCAGAGGAGTTGGGAAGAAGAAGCCTTGGGGGACATGTGGACAGCTCACTTCCAGTATAGAACCTTCTCCGCCCCATCTCCCATGGGTTCCACACCACGTGATGAGGGCACATTATGGTGCAGTGCCAAAGAAACAAGCTCTCCAAGTTACTCCCTCCCATACCCCCATCTCCTCATCTGGATAATGAAGGGGCATCCAGATGACCTTTAAAGGCATTTACAGCTCAGTTACTTTCAGCAAAGGCTGGTGGGGCCATTGGCTCCTTACTCCTCTGTTTAATCACTTCTAGCTTCTGCCTCCCCTCCTGTCTGACCTCATCTAGATGTTTTCTTATCTTCTTCTCTCACAGGTCCTAATTATTTCTCAAAGCCACGTAAGCATCACTTTGCTATCCTTGCTCATTAATTTCTACTTTCTATTTCATTCTTTCTTCCTGTCTCCATGTTTCTCTATTTCCTTTCTTCTGTTTTCCTCCATTCCATTAGCTCAAATGCCTTTTGAAGGAGAAGAGGTGACGAGAGACATAAGGACTCTCCCCTCCCTGGCCTGCCAGTCCTGACCCTTGTCTGCCTTCCACTGTCCTGTTGTCACCCGCCCACAGCATTCCTTGGCTCTGTCATACTTTCAGCCCAGTCTTCACTGTTCTTTCCACTTCTCAAGGTCCAGCCCTCTCAATCTGTCCTTGAGTTTGGGAACAAGAGTCCTTTCCCCTTTGAATGCTTCGTTCTGTGACTCACCCTGATGGCTCACTAATACCCTTCATCAACTTTTCTCAAGCACAGGCCCTAATGCCCATTTCACTAGGAGCCCCTCCTCCTTCAGGCCTGAAGGTCAGGAGCCAAGTAACTTGGAGCTGGTCTGACATACTGCTTGAGAAGCAAGGGTTGTTTTTCCCAGCCATGCTGCCTCCTGCAATCTGCATGGAGTCACTCTGACATCCAGTTGCAATTCAGATCATTCCACTGTTCTTTCTAGAACATGTAGCTTTGTCCAAGTCCACTTAGTACTGACTGCACCTCCTAGTGATCAAAGCCAGGCCAGCACCTCATGTTTAAGTGAAGAGGGTCCAGCCAGGATCAAAGATGAAGCACAATGACACAGGCAGAAGCATTTCTGGGGTAAGGTTTTGTTTTTAGACATTTATAAGTCTGCTGAGATGTGTGCCATATTAAGTGGCTTGTGTGTGGGCAGGGGAAGATGATGATGTATTTCCCAAAGGAAAATGTGGTTTAGAGGCGGGAAAGAGGCAGCAAAATTCTAGAAAGAGGATGCTCTTTATCTGGCCTTTATCCAGTACCATCACATACCCTCAAGGTCCTTCTAGAAGTCAAACTTGTTTCCTCCACAGGAACTGAAAGTGTTTCTGTCCAAGTGTGAGAGAGTTTGGAGGACTTTAATGTCTTTCATTATCCGTCATGTTTTAAGCCACAACATTTAATTTGCTGTCATCTTGCAGCTATACCTTTTATCACTTGAGGACTTTTTAAAAACGAGCTTCTCTCACGTCATCCAGAAATTTTGAAATATCAGTTGCTTTGTATAGCAAATATTCCCATTTTATACACATTGATTGCTTAGGTTGTTTCTCTTCTGTAAATACCTAAAAGTAATTTTATTATTTTTTATTATTTTATCATTTTTTAAAGATTTTATACTTTAAGTACATTTGTAGATAAATTTACTTTTTATTCTATACACACACAACAAAACTGAATAAATGAATAAAATAAAATCATTTCATCATAGTTGTCCTCTGTTGCTATTTTCTCTTTACATTAACAGTAAAAACTCTTCGTTAATTAAGTGCCATTGTAACATCACAAAGCACCACGGGGCCAAAAGGTTTGTGTTTTACTAGCTATGCTAGGCTGTAATTGCCTGACACGGCTCTTGCTAAATAATGAGGGCATCTGAGTAAGTGGAAATCCATGTTCTCGAAGCTTGTGAGGTTGAATGATGATGATTGAAATGTTATGCCTTTTGTTTTGTAAGTTGAGGGGTTTACTTTCAGATTCTTTCAACTCGCCTTAGTTAATCTCATGTTTCCACCTCTTTATTCTACTTCTCTCCCCGATATGCCCATTCAGGAGGCTTTCTGATGGCTCTCCATCTGGGAAAGTGGCAGCTGCACCCTTTCTCCGGTAAAGCTTCTGTCTTTAACATGCACTTGTGTGAAAAAGCCAGGAACCAAGAGTGCACATAGGTCAGTCACCTCCTTGTCTCTGTAAGAGAAAAACAGGGCTGACCACAGTTCCTTTTTCTACCTAGACAGTCTTCCCTCCCTTCTATTTAAAGATTTTAAAAGGGGATGTGTGTGTGTGTGTGTGTGTGTGTGTGTGTGTGCGCGCGCGCGCGCGCGCGTGCACGCGTGTGCATGTGTTCATATTCATGTGTGTATTTATGATTGGGTTTGGGAATTTGAGACAAAGCTCATCCAGCGAAAGTTTGTGTATCATTTGCTTGTCCAAGGCCTGTGTGCCAGAAGGATCCAGTGTATGTACCACAGGTACTCTAATTACTTGAAAATTCATTGTGCTTTCACTTTTTAGGGACATAATGTAATTCTGGAACATTACTTCAACGCCATGCTTTATTTAGAAGTGTTCAGGGAATATGGAGCCTTGAGCTTAGGAAATGGTATAGTGTTAGGGCCTGGTTTTTTTTTTAATACCAATGGGTCTAATTTTGCAGACCAGAAATCAGTGAATAACACTCATTGTAATGGGGAACAACATTTACACCAGAGAGAAAGAGCAGTAAACTCTGTCACCTGGGGAAAGAGCCTCTCCTTAATTTTTGCTCTTTGCAAGCCTGATGCAATCAGTGTTTCCTAATGCTGGGACAATCCTCACCTCGAAGTGTTTCTATGTAATTGTGTCACATAATGGGAAAGTATAATAGGCAATTTGGTTCTGTAATTCAGTTTGCAAAGCATGCAAACATAAGATAACTAGGTTAAATGCAAATAGGCATTACACTAAGGTACAAAAAACAGGGGGGAGCAAAGATGCTGTGTCCATAACTTAGAAACAACCTGCATTTTATTCCTCATGTGCCTCAAAATGTAGAGTTTATTAAAGTATTTATCCTCTAGTTTAACGTCATTACATACTGTCCATACAGATACATTATCTGTGTATGAACATACACATATTCTTACTGCATATATTTACAAATCTCTCGTTTGCGATAAGCAGGCTCTGAGCAAAGCTTGTTCTTTAGGAGTGAGTTGATGTGCTCATTTTTTTTTAACAATGTAGTGTTTTAACAAATAGACTATTATAATGGGGGAAGGGGGGTTGTTACTTTGTGAGGGGTGAAAAGGATAACCATTGCATTGTTCTGTATACCTGAAACTAACAATAAAATTAAAACAAAACAAAACCCAAATAGACTATTATATATAAGACACCATATCAAAATGTGCTTTTAATTTTTCAAAGTTTTTTTATTATTGTTTGTAACTTTTTCCTTTGGGCCAATTCGTTCATTATTTAGAGGTCTGTTTTTAATGTATTCCCTTAAACAGTGACTGATAGGTACACTATAGTCAGATATATACAGTGTCATGAAATAAACACTACTGGCCTTAATGATTTTAATATTTTGGGGTTTTTAAATTTTTTGATGCAGTTTTTTTTTTCCTAGTATAGTATATCCTGGGCCTGAGACTGAGTTAATAAAATTTCTAAATCTTACAGTTCCAAGACAATGCAGTATTTTCTGTTCATGCTATTTCCATATTTTTAATAAAGAATGGAATTTATTTGAGCCTGTGTATATTTTACCTGATCAACTTCTTTATGGTCATTATTTCTTCAGGACTAGTTCCCATAAGTAGATAGCAAGGAAAAGCTTTTTAAAGGGGATGTTTCAGGCCTCAAA